GCTCAGGGCCAGTGAGAGGGAGGGGTGTGTGCCAGGGCCTGGGCTGCAGGGGGGCCGACCCTTGGGGCACCCTTGCCACAGCACAGCCACAGCAGGCAGGGGGCCCCACTCCCACGGTGGAGAAGCCCCAGGGCCCAGCCCAAAGTCTGGAGCGGGGCGGCCAGCCCCCCCAGTGGCCTGCGGCGGGGGCGGGTGTTTGCCGAGCGACATAGCACCCGCGCATGTTCTCATTAGCTGCCCTAAGTGACCATTAATTCCACTAACAGCCGTGGCCCGCGGCTCTCGGTGCTCACTTCAGCAAGCACTGAGCAAATATTTGTTTGACCAGAGAGTGACACCCGTGTCTGGGATCCCATTCACACCGTGTTATGGCCGCCCCCTCTCTCTCCAGCTCACCCGGCGGCCGTGGCACCTGCTCGGTCCAGGCCTGGCAGGCACAGCCGTCGGCTCGGGCACCGCGCGCAGCCCACACACCCTGAAACATGGAAGCCACTCCGCAGTGCGGGCGGCTGCAGGCTGAGGTCGCGGCGTGGGCGGGGCTGGCTCCCCGGAGCCCTGGCGGCTCGGCTCGGGGACCCCACCTTCTCCCTCTCGGCAGAGCCGGGCTGGGTTAGGGCCTTTCCTGACGGGCTCGTTCTAATTTCATTCTGTCCATCAAAGCCCGTCTCCACTCCAGCCGCTATCTGGGGACCTGGGGGCTTGCTGAAGAGGCGGGGGCCTGGGCGGGTCTGCTGGCCCTGCCGACAGGGCCGAAGCCAGAGCCAGGTGTCCAGAACCACGGCCACCAGGTGCGCTGGGTGGACCAAGACGCGTGGCAGAGCCACATCTCAGCAGCTGCTTTGACCTCGTCCGATCGTCGTCCCCGGATCCACCGGTCCTGTCTCTCCGCCAAGGCTGCCTGCCACCGACCCCTGCTCACGGAGCCCCAAGGCTGCATGAGGTGAACTGGCCCTGGTCCACGCCAGGCAGGGGCAGTGGGGGCCAGGGACAGAGACGGTCAGGGAGGAGACGAGGCCCCGTGGGCACCGCTCACAGACCCCGGGGTTCCCCCCTGCTGTGCAGACTGGGTACCTGGAGCTGGGCTCGCAGCACAGCTGGGCCAGGGCCTCTGCCAGGAGGAGGGAGGTGCCAGTGCCCTGGGCCCTCCCCCCACCCCGCCCTGGAGACCCCCGCCCTGGCTGCCGTGTGAAGCCGAGGATTCAGAGGACAGAGACCACCCCGGCTCTGCGGCCTCTCCGTCCACGCTGCACCCTCCTCCGCGGGGCGAGGCGGGTGGGACTGGGCTGGACTCCAGCTAAAGGCCGCTGGGTTCTGCATGGACCCCGGACTCTACCCGGAGGCCACACGACACATGCCAGCACCAGCACCAGCGCAGGGTGGCAGCCAGGGCGCAGGCCCCCTGCCAGGTTCTGTGGACCTCCCTGTCCTGCCTTACGGGAGTGGAGAGTGGACATGTGAGGGAGCCACACAGCTGGTCGGCGGCCAGAGAGGGACAGGGAGGTGGCTCTCGGCTCATAGCCGCAAGCCCAGGCAGTGCCGTGCCACGTCCAGCGACTCTGGGGGCAGATTCTGGCGCCGCAGCCCGGTGCCCTCGGGGAGCTGGGGTGATGCTGCCTACTCTGCACCCACCCCCAGCACCGGCCACGTCCCAGCCTCTCCTGGAGTGCACTGACCTGCTGCGCACACAGACGCCTGGCCAAGGGCATGGCCACCAGGCTGTGGGAGCTGAGAGGGGCCGGCCCTGGCCTCCATGGTCACTCAGGAGGGGCCGGCCCTGGCCTCCGTGGGGTCAGCCACCAGGGCTGGCGGTGGTGCAGGCATCCTCCCCTGCTCGTCAGCTGTCCTCACCTACCTGAGTGCTGTACCTGACCTAGCCACACCCCGGGGTGTTTCCAGCTGGAACCTGCTGTCCGTCAGCACTGTCCGTCAGCGCTGTCCATCAGTGCTGTCCAACAGTGCTGTCCGTCAGGGCTGTCCGTCAAGCTGTCCATCAGTGCTGTCTGTCAAGCTGTCCATCAGTGCTGTCCGTCAGTGCTGTCTGTCAGTGCTGTCCATCAGCGCTGTCCGTCAGGGCTGTCCGTCAGTGCTGTCCATCAGTGCTGTCCGTCAGCGCTGTCCATCAGTGTTGTCCGTCAGTGCTGTCCATCAGTGCTGTCCATCAGCGCTGTCCGTCAGTGCTGTCCGTCAGTGTTGTCCGTCAGTGCTGTCCATCAGTGCTGTCCGTCAAGCTGTCCATCAGCGCTGTCCGTCAAGCTGTCTGTCAGTGCTGTCCGTCAGCGCTGTCCATCAGGGCTGTCCATCAAGCTGTCCATCAATGCTGTCCATCAGCGCTGTCCGTCAAGCTGTCCGCCAGTGCTGTCCATCAGTGCTGTCCATCAGTGCTGTCCGTCAAGCTGTCTGTCAGTGCTGTCCGCCAGTGCTGTCCGTCAGCGCTGACCGTCAGGGCTGACCTAAGCCGTGTCCCGAGGGCAGGGACACCCCTTACCCGACTGGCGGCTCCGAGGTCCTCGTCCCTTGCAAGGATTCACTGCTCAGCTTTTGACACTTTTCATGCCGTTGTCAACGACAGCTTTAAAACCGTCGTGTCTGTCGGTGAGCCCGGACGCGACGGTGACCCCTGTCTCCCGCGGTGCCGTGAGAGAAGTGGAATTCCGGGCCCAGCCTCCCAGACGCGGGTCACCGACATGGCGACGCCAGCCGCGGGTTTTCGGGACTCTGCTCGCCCAGGTGAGGGCGGCGCCCTCCCGCTCCTCGCTCGCTAAGAGCGCGTTTTCGTCCCAGACAGACGTCAGGTCCCGAGTCCGCTGAGGCCCCCTGGGCTTTTCGACCCTACCGGTGTGGTTCATTGCATCGGTTGATTCAAGCGCGGTCACTCAATCTGGAATTCACGGAATAAACACACCTCGTCCAAGCTACGCGGTTCTTCCAGGCTGCTGGGGGTTTTGAGTCGGCTAGCATTTTTTCTGAGGTCTCTTCTTCTGTGTTTCTTTAAATTTATTTTTTATTTATTTGGAAGGCAGAGTTACAGAGAGAGAGAGAGGAGAGAGAGAGAGAGAGAGAGAGAGGTCTTCCACCTGCTGGTTCACTCCCCCAGGTGGCCACAACGGCTGGAGCTGCGCTGATCCGAAGCCAGGAGCCAGGAGCTTCCTCCAGGTCTCCCACGCGGGTGCAGGGGCCCAAGGACTTGGGCCATCTTCTACTGCTTTCCCAGGCCACAGCAGAGAGCTGGATGGGAAGTGGAGCAGCCGGGACCCAAACCTGCGCCCGTCCGGGATGCCGGCACTGCAGGTGGAGGCTCAGCCGACTGTGCCACCGCACCGGCCCCGTCTCCCTCCCTCTGGGTCAGGACCCCAGCCCCATGGGTTCCCTTGGACGTTGCCATGGAGACCGCAGCCTGCATCCTGGTCTCGTCAAAGCGTGGGGCGACTCGGTAGCCTTGATCTCTCCCGGAAGGACGGCGTGGCCGTGGGGCCCCTGGCTGGGTGGGAATCCCCCGCCGGCGCGGCCCGTCTTTTCGTGGGCAGCCTTTCCTGTGGCCGCGCTTTGCCGACAGCCGCTGGAGTTCTGGTCTCCAAACGCCGTCTGTCGCCTTTTTTGTCTGCGGGATCCTAGGACAGTTGCTCTTCCCTCAGCCTCGGGGGACGCGGCTCCCGCTGTGCCCAGGCTGGTTTTCCGTCTAGTTGTGGTTCGTTTGAACGCGCTGGGTCTTGGGCCGGCATCTGGGCTGGTGGGCGAGACGCCGGCTGAGACGCCCACCTCCTGTGTCGGCGCCTGGGCCTGAGCCCCGGCCTCTGCTTCCTCCGAACCTGCACTCGGAAGGCAGCAGATGGTGGCCCGGGGGCGGGGTCCCTGCCACCCCACCAGACCCGCACAGGGTGCCCAGGTCTGGTTTTCGGCCTGACCGGCCTTGGCCGTGGCGGTCACTTAGGGAGGGAGCCACTGGCTTGCCCCCCCCCCCAATAAGCTAATAATAAAAGCTCTCACACGAGGCAGCAGGTCTTGTTTTCTGCTTGTTGTAAAGATTTCTCTGGGCCTTTGGTTTTGGCAATTTGCTGTGATGACAATGGGAAGGCGGGGGCGGGGGGCTCATGCCCAGCGGGACTTGTGCTGGGACCTCCCCCCACACCACGGCCGGACCCCCACGTGCAGCCACGGATGCACTCGGGGGCTGTCGATCTGGACTCTGGGGTTGGATGAACCGCGTCAGTTTTAGAACGATTCCAGCCACGGGGTGTGCAACACGGCCTCTCCCTCTCTCTCTCTCTCTCTGTCTCTTTGTCTCTCTCTCTCTGTCTCTTTGTCTTTCTATCTCTCTATCTCTGTCTCTGTCTCTTTGTCTCTCTCTCTCCCTCCCTCTTTCTCTCCCACTCTCTGTTTCTTTGTCTCTGTCTCTCTCTTTGTCTCTCTCTCTCTCTCTCTCTCTCTCTCTCTCAATAACTCTCACTATCAAGTAAGACAAATCTGTAGACCAGTCACAGGAATCATTCGGGCCAAGAACACAATCTTCCTCCAAACAGGGCTTGGGTCAGCAGACTGGGAGACTCGGAACCCGGGACCACCCCAGCCAACCTCAGCCCTTGAATGGGGGTCTCCCAGCCTCTTCTCCCGAAACTGGAGGAGGCCCCTGGGGGACAAGGCTCCCCCAGGCCAAGCTCCCTGCCCCTGGCTCCTGGCCCCCACTTTCTCAGGCCCAGGGACCCTGGCTGTCTGGCTGCCCTTCCCAGGGGTCCCCAGGCCGTGGCCCCGGGGGGTCACCCTGTTTGTGGCGCTGGCCCCATCTTGCACGGCCCTGTCTGAGGCACCAACCCATGTCCTCCTGGGCACCGTCCCAAGGCCAGAGTGGGGACCCTGCAGGAGCTGGCCCCTGCAGGTCCAGTGGCCTGAACACCCAGGGAAGATCTGGGGAGGGGTCCTGGTGTTACCGGAGAAATTGCAGGGCTCTTGTCTTCGCGCAACAAAGAATTCAGGCGTGAGACAGAGAGTAGTGGGAGGTAAAATAGCAAGGTTTATTAGGGAAGGGACATCTGTAAAGACGGATGGGCACCCCTCCAGACAGGACCTGGGAAAGGGTGCAGTCGCTCGGACTGGGGGGGGGGGGCGAGGAAGGAGTGAGGTTACATGGTTGAGTGGAGAGAGTACACCTGGGCAGACCAGGCGGGCGGCTCAGCAGAGAGGCAGAGGGCTGAGCGCACAGTCCGGTTGAGGCCGGGGGGGTGGGGGTGGGGGGGGTTTAAGGAGATGGGTCTCTGTCTTCACACATCTCCTCCTGAAACAAAGGACTTTATGGCTGTAAATAGTAAGAAGCTCCTATCTGAGTTTTCCCCTGAAGGTATCAGACAGGAGGAAGCCTAGCTGGCGCCATCCTGGGTTCAGAGGAAGGGTGAGCAGGACCCTTAGAGAATGGGGATCCGGAGCAGGGTGTTTGAGATGCAGAGACTGGGCTGCACCTGGGAGATTGTGGAAGGTTTGTCAGGCAGAAGGGGCGGGACCCCCACCTGGCAGGTTATCAGGTGGAAGGGGGCAGGGCAGGATGCGAATACCAGGCTGCCCCTGAAACACTGTCAGGATGACTTTGAGATGCAGATGCATGTGCTGGACACAGATGTCTTCTCTTTAGGCCTTTATGTCACACACACATAAGCTCATAACTGACTTCCTACCTGACATTCCCCCCTCAAGAGGCAATACCCAAAATTCTTCTTTGGGATTATGGATGGAGTTCCGTTTTCTGTAACTTCTTTGAAGCTGGCATGTGGGCATCGAGGGGGATTTGGGTATTTCCTCTTGCTATCTGTCTTATGGTGTGCAACAGTGGCCTTGGAAAGACTGTCCTGCTGGTCCAGAGGGCTGCTCAGGTCGTCCAGTGGAATGGGCTGGAAGCCTTGTCTGACGATCATTTGGAGTTCGACAGCTTTTAGTCTGTTAGAGACAAAATGAACAAGGGCATTAAAAACACATGGTCCAAAGAGAAGCATCAAGATTACAGAAGTTATTGGGCCAAGGAGAGGAAATAGCCAGGATTTCCATGACCAGATGTCAGGCCAGAAATCCCAGCCCTGCTTGGCCTGGTCCTGGAGCTGTTTGGCTTTGTCCAAGAAAGTACGAATTTGTGTTTGTACCTGTCCAGTCTGATTGACCCAGAGACAACATTGTTCCTGGAACATGGCACAGACACCCCCCAGAGCAGCCGTTAGCACGTCCAATATTTTTTCTTTCATAACCTTTCGTGACTTCCACACACCCTCTTCAACTGACTTGAAACATTCCATCATTTCCATTCCAGTCTAGAGTAAACTAGCCATCAGGACAAAGTACAAACCATGTTCTTTCCTTATTTAAAAGAACTCTTTCCTTCTTAACCTTCCTTACCAAGCACACATTTCTATACTCGTGATGTTTTACACAGGGCCTGGTTGGCTCTTTCTACCTTCAGGAAGACTGAGGTCTCCATGCAGAGTGAAGGTGCCAGGTTATTCCTAGGGCCTTACAAATCCCTTGTGTATCCTGGGAGATGAGGGAAGGCCCATTGTTGCTTTGTAAAGATTTTGGGAGACCAAAGCGTGGGATAACTTCCTTCAGGAGAGTTTTGGCCACTTCCTGAGCTCTTTCAGTTCTGGTTGGGAAGACTTCTACCCATCCAGTAAAGGTGTCTGTAAGTACAAGCAGGTACCTATAGCCTTGACAGGGTGGCATCCGTGTAAATCTGTTTGCCAGCCTTCCCCGAGGTAAGTTCCCTTTTGCTGTAGAGACCCCCGGGAGTTATTTTCTCTTGTCCTTACCTAGTTCTAGAGCTCTGGTTAAGTGATCGGTTCTGCTAACTGAGTGAACTTCCTGGGGGCAGAGCACGCTTCGGTAACGTGCCAGGCCGTAGCTGTTGTGTGCCCTGAGAAGCGGGTCCCGTCTGACAAAGCTGCTTCCACCTATGAACCAAACTTCATCTGTGTTAGTCAGGGGGCTGCCCTTTAGGTCCCTTCTGCTGGCGTAGGTCAAGTCTATAGTCTCAGCACAGGAGTGGAGGGGACCACCTTCCCCCGGGTTAGAGTAGAGCAGTGCCTTATTTTTACCTGAGGGTTTTCTAGGAGGAGGACCTGATACATTAGTATCCTGCTATCTGGGAGCCAGTGAGAGCCCTTTTGCTCTAACAGAGAATTTATCTGATGTGGTGTATGAAGGGCGATGTCTTGTCCCAGTGTAATTCCAGATACCTCCTCCGTCAGAAGGCAGCTGCTGCCAGTGTCTTTAGGCAGAGAGGCCATCCTTGTGCAACCACGTCTAAGGTTTTAGAAAAGTAGCCCACAGGTTGCTTAACAGGTCCCAGATCCTGAGTTGACCCTCCTAAGGCGACTCCCTGCATCCCAGTGATGTACAGCTGGGAGGGTCTCTCTGGGTTTGGCAGTCCTGGCACAGGGGCTTTAGTCAGCACAGCAAGGGCTGTGGTTTGCTCTTTCCCCCAAAGGAGGGGGCTCTGCTTTGGCTGCCTGTCGAGAGCCTGGTGTGGGAACTGTGCTGTTTCCCTGCATCTAGGAACCTGACAGAGAAAGCTGGGACTGCCTGAAGTTTGCAGAAGTAGGAATCCGCTGCATGGCCCATATCCTCTCTGGGGCAGGTTCTCTCCCCAGGGGTGAGGATAAGGGTTAAATAGTTAACACTCTAATGGACTAGCAATGCTTTGTTTTCCTCTGGATACCTAGTAGCTAGTTTTGCTAGGAAGTTAAGCCAAGGTACAAGACTAGAGTCGAGGGCTGGGAAAGGAGACAGAGTAACAAATCATTCACATTTAACCATCTACATTATGGATTCTTGTGCACCCCCCTCGAGAGATGGGCCCTTTAAGTCCTCAGTGAGGACCTGCCTAATAGGTGCAGGACTATCTGAGTTAGCTGTTACCGAAAGCCCTGTTTCTAGGAACTGGCAGGGAGGGCTTTCTAAGCTTAATGCTATTGGATAGACTTTTAGGGCCTGGCTGGGTGTGTGAGGCCCAGTCCTATCCACGGGGTGCTGGAAGAGAATTGAAAGAGATGCAAATCTCCTTTAAGGGAGGCACCCTGTTGACTTGCATTACATGGCTGGACTAGGAGGAGAGCGGAACAGGAGGCTGATAGAAACAGGCAACTTGCGTTTCACTGACCCTCGGCCATCCCCTCAATAGCAGTGGCTGGAGCTGGAAGCTGGGCAGGGCTGGGCAGAGCCAAAGGCTTTTTAGCTCGGGGCCACAAGGTCTGTGGTTCTGAACCAGGAGTCCTTCGACCCCCAGGGCAGTTCCGTGTCCAGTGGCCGTGCTCTTGGCAGAGCTGACAGAAGGCAGTTGCTGTCACGACAGCTGCTTGCCCAACGCCCTGGCTCCTTATATCAGTAACAGGTGCAGTTTGGGGTGCCCTGGCCTTGCTGGGTCTCCTTGACGGTAGATCACCGTGTAAAGCAGCCATTGATTGGCCTGTTGCCCATCCTCTGCTGCTAGCTTGCTCCTCGTTCTCCTGGTCTCTAATAAAGTGGACCAAGGAGGCAGCCTCGATGATGTCAGTCAAGCGGGTGCTCAATCCAACCCTGATTTTTAGAGATTTTTTTTAATATCAGGGTGAGCTAGAAAACTATGGTCATGGGCAAATTCTGACACTTGGTATTTTCCTGCTAGTTAAGGCCGTGCCCGTGACTATGACCTTTAGGTAAGATCACTGTGCTGACCTGCTTGCAGACTTTGAGGTCATCAGTGCAGCTTCCTATCTATCCCTCAGTTTGGTTAAAAGGGGAGTTCTGCCCACCTACCGCGTACACCGGACAATCGATCTAGCTGTCACATTATTTCGTAGTTTAACCTCTTTTTCTGGCTATGCTGTTTGGGGCCCTATACTGTGGCCAGGCATTATTACAGAAAAGTCAGTCATCCCTTACACAAGGTCTGGGGATCACACCGTACGGCACCGTGGAGAGTCCTGCAGAACGGTAGCAACTTCCCTTCTAGAAGAGAAAGGAGGAGAAGTGAGGCAGCGAGTCGGGTCTCCAGCCAGACTTCCCGGGCTTTCAGATTTAACTGGCATTTGACCAGCGCTTACTGCGTAGCCTGACTCAGAGGAGACATTGTGGCAGACGTCTCTGCCATCCTTTGGCTTCCAGATATTTACCATGTAGCCAGTGGGTTATGGGCCTGGCTTTCCGGGTTTAACTAGTCTCACCGTGTAGCCCGTAAGTTTAGGTTTGGGGCTTCTGGGCTTTCCCCGTGTAGCCTGTGGACACTAGAGCTCTCTTGGGCTCCTGGAGCCTAGTGCTCTAGCATCTGCCGCATAACCATCTCCCGTCATCTCTAAGTCTCTTTTGGAACACTTTCTCCCTTTTGGCTAGACCTCCGTTTGATCCACATTTGAACTAGCGATGCCTGGTTATTCAGCGTTAGCTGGACGGAGACTTTGTCAGTCCCCCTTTGAAGGATCTGGCCTCTGAGCCAGAGACTGGAGCAGCTAGAAGGAAACACGTTTATAACTGAAGTTTAGCATCATTTCACATCTCGGCAGCACTTTTAATCTAAACAGCCCGATTGGTTATTATCTCTGCAAGACGAGAGATATCTCTTTTGACATCTCCAGGGACCCTCCGGAGATACCAAAAGTCCAGAGAATTTAGAACTTTGATTTTCAGAAAGTCTGTTAAAGGTGCCAAGAGAACTTAGAGTATCTGGTCACAACAGAATTCCTTACCATCCTGAAATGACAGCCATTCATTTAGGGCGATTTTCACACTTTCAGACCAGATCTAATAACGGAGACAGTAGAGTACACAGAACATGAATTCCATGTCTCTTGTCGAATAAACCAGAAATAAAAACCTTGCACTTAAGAGTTCACATAAGTCAGAACTATTTAACAGAGTCAAAAAGAGCTTGCAGGACCTGACTCTAGAAATGGCAGCGTAACCGATGAAGCAGACACTGTTAAAATAGACGTTACAGTTTTGCAAAAACAGATTCCAAGATTTATGATTTAGACCATTTCCAGGTATTTACTAACATTAGGGCACATTTTTTTAAACACCCCATTGTTGTAACAGCAGGTCAGACTTCAGAGTAATTTTGGCATTAGCACTCAACTCTGTAAACAAAATTTTAAAATCGTAAACATTTTAAAACTTTTCATGACTTGCTCACACCTTCTGAAACTTTTTTTTTTTTTTTTTTTGGACAGGCAGAGTGGACAGAGAGAGAGAGAGACAGAGAGAAAGGTCTTCCTTTGCCGTTGGTTCATCCTCCAATGGCCACCACGGCCAGCGCGCTGCGGCCGGCGCACCGCACTGATCCGATGGCAGGAGCCAGGAGCCAGGTGCTTTTCCTGGTCTCCCATGGGGTGCAGGGCCCAAGGACCTGGGCCATCCTCCACTGCACTCCTGGGCCACAGCAGAGAGCTGGCCTGGAAGAGGGGCAACCGGGACAGAATCCGGCGCCCCGACCGGGACTAGAACCCGGTGTGCCGGCGCCGCAAGGCGGAGGATTAGCCTAGTGAGCCATGCCGCCGGCTTATCCTTCTGAAACTTTACACCCGTAGTTACTTTTACATAGTCTTGAATTGTCATGTGTGGACAACCTATGAGAATACATGCTAACGAACTCAAACAGTCTCTCATCAAATTTAAGATGTTAAAAGTACGCATAATACTTTTTCCCAAGTTTTACTTAGCACCGATGCCCAGATAACTTAAGACGCTGAGTTATTAATGAACACCACACCATTATCTGAATTAAAAGTCAAAGTTACATTTCGCATGCCTTTAAGTAACACAAGGATAACACCTGAGCAGCGACAGGGACACTAGTGCATGTCCACAACCTTGAAAAGATCTTCATCGTTAAGAGAAACAAGTTTAAAGCAGATCAAAGACGTAACACTGAGCAGGGAGCCGCTGAGCGAACCGAAGGGCGTTTGCATTAACTCAGTTCTCTGAACAAATCTGTACTGGCTTACTTTAGTTAACAACATAAAGGCTTGTATGCACAGAATTTACTCTCATTTTCAAAAGACCACTCTAGCTGGAAAGCAAAAACATGAATGCAGCATAGGTCACATGATCTGAATTGACTCAAGCAGCTGTAGCTTTAACAAATTCAGAGTCCCATCCTCTGAGAGTTCCAGGGATCCGACGGGAAGCCCAGAGCTGGGAGACTCGGCTTAGAATTTAAGCTGTCAGAGAGTCAGTTTAGCCAGCAATTAGCACGTTTCTGATCAGTTGGGTAATCACTCAAACATTAAAAACAGACAAATAATGTAAACAACTTCGCGTTGCAGTTTCCCAATCAAGACTCATAAAGGCAATAGAAAAACGCGAAACCTTCAAGGCAGGTGAACGCGCTCATCAGATGAGTCAGGGAGAGCAGCACGGAAGAGAACTCGTCATCGGCGTATGAGCCCATTGCTTAGGCTTCCATTGACTGCAAAGAGAAGAACCCATCAGGTTGGAAAGGGTTAATGGCTTAAGGTTCTGGCTCCCTTAGGTAAGGCCAGCAGTGGTACTGAATTGGAGAGTCCTCCAGGAGAGGAAAAAGCAGCCCGGGGTGGGGGGGGCGCTCTCCCCAGAGATATCTGGCTGTGCCTGCCTGGGTGCGGCAGGCCACGTGGACTGGAACAGAGAGCAGAGAAAGGCTGTGGTCCCCCATTTACAGGAAGACTGCGCACACACCGGGGCCTGGCAGGGCTGGCCGTGGGGCTGGGTAGGTGCACCTTCACCAGGAGTGCTGGGAACCTCCTCTAATTCAACCAAAGCCAGATCGATCAGGACTGCTGCAGACACTCAGTCAGTTACAACAGATAACTTCAGCTCCTTCCCAGATTCAGTCCTCAGGCACTCAAAGCTTAGCAACAGTAACAGCACAAACTTCAGGACGCACCTGAGCTACCGTAAGCTGCAAAGACGGAAGCCTTCTACCAGGTTGAAAGGGTTAATAGGTAACAGCTTTTCCCCAGGTGGAGAGGCCTGTGGAATTCCCTCTCCCTTTCTCCAGGCCAGCGGTACAGGAGTGGAGAGGAGCAGAGCAGAGCGAAGAGTCGGGGAGGGAGACGGAAAGCGACAGGACGAGATGTGAGCGGCTGCCTCACCTTCCCCTGGGAATCCCAGCTGGAGGAGAGCACAGGGAAAGGCCCTCCTGTCTGGGGCTGAGTGGGGTTCCAAATCTATCGCTCAAGACTGCCCACTACCTAGTTGTCCGAGTTTACCTGGAGGGCCAATATTAGCCTCGACCGAAGCCAAGCCCTGCTCGCGTAGCAGTAGGCAGCGTGACCAGGCGTCCCTCCGAGAGAGAGAGACCTGGTCCTCGGGTCGCAGTCCGGCCGCCGGGAAGCCAAAGCGAGCTCAGGGGGTCTCCAGGCTCTCAGCCAACTGCCCTTCCTAATCGCCCACCCGTTCCTTACAATCCCTCTGGAGTTTCGGCCGTAGCTAAGCCGTGGCCGGGGGGACTCCGTGTTCTCGGAGAGCTGTGGGGTGCCGGACGCTCAACGGGCACTTCCACAGATCCGGTCCCGCTTGAGGGAAGGAATACTGACCTCCGATGTCTTCTCAAAGTCCCTTCGTGGTCGCCAAAAATGTTACCAGAGAAATTGCAGTGTTCTTGTCTTCGCGCAAGAAAGAATTCAGGCGTGAGAGAGAGAGTAGTGGGAGGTAAAATAGCAAGGTTTATTAGGGAAGGGACATCCGTAAGGATGGACGGGCACCTCTCCAGACAGAGCCTGAGAGACTGGGGGGGGGGGGGAGAAGCGAGGTTACATGGTTGAGTGGAGAGAGTACACCTGGCCAGACCAGGCGGGCGGCTCAGCAGAGAGGCAGAGGGCTGAGCGCACAGTCCGGTTGAGGCCGGGGGTTTTTAAGGAGATGGGTCTCTGTCTTCACACATCTCCTCCTGAAACAAAGGACTTTATGGCTGTAAATAGTAAGAAGCTCCTATCTGAGTTTTCCCCTGAAGGTGTCAGACAGGAGGAAGCCTAGCTGGCGCCATCCTGGGTTCAGAGGAAGGGTGAGCAGGACCCCCTGGAGAATGGGGATCCGGAGCAGGGTGTTTGAGATGCAGAGACTGGGCTGCACCTGGGAGACTGTGGAAGGTTTGTCAGGCAGAAGGGGCGGGACCTCCACCTGGCAGGTTGTCAGGTGGAAGGGGGCAGGGCAGGATGCGAATACCGGGCTGCCCCTGAAACACTGTCAGCATGACTTTGAGATGCAGATGCATGTGCTGGACATAGATGTCTTCTCTTTAGGCCTTTATGTCACACGCGTGTAAGCTCATAACTGACTTCCTACCTGACACTGGGAGCTGTGGGGACCAGCAGCCCTTCCTTCCGCCCCGGGGGCAGCCCCCTCGGACCCGGCCGCCTGTGTCTCCAGGCTCTGCCACTGCGGAAGGCGCCCCTCCCACCCCCAGGGTGGAGAGTCGGCAAGAACCAGCCAAGCCCTCGTCCCCTCGGCCGCCATGGCTGCTCTGGGAAGCCGCTGGTCCCAGAGGCCCCGGGGGCCGCCGGCTCCCCCTGCGTCCGGCCCTCGGCCCCCATGCCGGAGGGGCTGCGGCCGCCCCCTGTGCCCGGGGCCGCGGCCACGGATCCAATTTCCACCCCACCCCGCCTTTGAAGACGGCCGAGCGCCTCTCCGAGGGCTTCTCCCGGCGCAGGGGTCACCCCGGCCGGCACGGGAGGCTCCGCTTACCCCAAGGTGAAGACGGCTGAGCTGCTTCGGGCGAAATCAGATCCAGCCTCACGCGTCGCCCCAAACAAAGCCTGGCTTTGAGTGGGGTTTGGGGGCGTCCCCTGGGCTCGGGGGTGCCCGCCTAGCCACTTAGCAGGACAGAGGAACCTCTCAGGTGTGTGGGGGGGTGCGGTGCTGCCTGCGGGGGCCTCCCCAGGCCCCGGAGGCCCCAGCCCTGCTCCGCCCTCCGTTCCCCGCCTCCCCCACCCCGCCCATCCTGTGCTTCCTCCCGGACCCCTTGTCCAGCCAGGGCGCCCTGGCCCCAAAGTGCTGAGACTTTGTCGCACGAGGGAGCCACGTGCGTCCTGGGCCCATCCCCCGTCCACCCCAGCACCCGAGGGAGGGGAGCTGAGGTGGCGTCCTGCCAGGGCTGGGGCCAGCGGCCAGCTGTGGTCACTCCTCACGTCATCATTTCAACACGACCGCCGGGCTCAGTGCCCCTTGCGGGGGGCGGGTCTCAGGGTGAGGGCGGTCAGCGGGAGAGCCGTCTGCCCAGGCCGGAGCCCCGGTGCTGGGCACCACTCTCCCGGACCCCGGGTCAGCCCCGCAGGCCAAGGGAGGCACAGGATCCACGTGGTGTGGACGCCACTGGGAGATCCAGGGGAACCACTACGAGGGCCCCTCAAAAACTCACGTGAAGAGAACGGTGAGACCCACCAGCAGAGCGTCCACAGGGCAGGATCCACACAGCGGGGTCTCCGTCCCCACAGCAGTGTCTCTGTCCCCACAGTGGTGTCTCTGTCCCTCAGCAGGGTCTCCATCCCCACAGCGGTGTCTCTGTCCCCCCAGCGGTGTCCCTGTTCCCCATCTGAGGTCCCCGTCCCCCCAGCGGGGTCTCCGTCCCCCCAGCGGGGTCCCCATCCCCCCAGCGGGGTCCCCATCCCCCCAGCGGGGTCCCCATCCCCCCAGCGGTGTCTCCGTCCCCCCAGCGGTGTCCCCGTCCCCCCAGCGGTGTCTCCGTCTCCCCAGCTGGTCTCCGTCCCCCCAGCGGGGTCCCCATCCCCCCAGCTGGTCTCCGTCCCCCCAGCGGTGTCCCCGTCCCCCCAGCGGTGTCCCCGTCCCCCCAGCAGGGTCTCCGTCTCCCCAGCTGGTCCCCGTCCCCCCAGCGGGGTCCCCGTCCCCCCAGCGGGGTCCCCATCCCCCCAGCGGTGTCCCCGTCCCCCCAGCAGGGTCTCCGTCTCCCCAGCTGGTCCCCGTCCCCCCAGCGGGGTCCCCGTCCCCCCAGCGGTGTCCCCGTCCCCCCAGCGGTGTCCCCGTCCCCCCAGCAGGGTCTCCGTCTCCCCAGCTGGTCCCCGTCCCCCCAGCGGGGTCTCCGTCCCCCCAGCGGTGTCCCCGTCCCCCCAGCGGGGTCCCCGTCCCCCCAGCGGTGTCTCCATCCCCCCAGCGGGGTCCCCGTCCCCCCAGCGGGGTCCCCGTCCCCCCAGCGGTGTCTCCATCCCCCCAGCGGGCTCTCCGTCCCCCCAGCGGGGTCCCCGTCCCCCCAGCGGGCTCTCCGTCCGGGAACTCTGCTGAAGCTTCCTGTGGGTGGATTTCAAATGGTTTTTGCACAGAAGGAGCTCTCCCTGCCGTGCCCTCCCGTGACCGTGCGTCCAACCCTGGTGAGCGTGGAGCGGGGCTCACGTCCCCTGAGACTCTGGCCACGCCCTTGCCTGCTGCCCTGCGCTGTGGCCACGCCTCTCCTCCCCCGTCCGGACCCCTGGAGCTTCCCCTCCCTGTGGGTCCAGGCCTCCCCGGGCCCGCCCTGCCCCCAGACAACCCCGCCCTCGCCCATGGCCTCTGCAAAGACCTGAGCTAGAGCAGCCCCGGCCCGGGTCCTGGCCCCGCCTGAGTTTGGGCGCCTTTGCTTGGAGGCTCCTGCAGGGGGAGGAGCTCCTTGGCGCGTTGGTGCCGGAGCCGGTTCCTGGGAAGAAGGGATGGGACGGGGGGGGGGGGGGGGGGTGCTGCCAGATTCCCAGGCACTGGGGCCGCTGAACAAGATGCCCGGCAGGGAGAGGCCCGTGGCCCGTGGCCCTGGCTTGTGGCCCGTGGCCCGAGGCCCTGGCTCGTGGCCCGTGGTCCTGTCTCGTGGCTCGTGGCCCGTGGCTCGTGGCTTGTGGCCCGTGGACAAGTGGAGCAGCCCTCCAGACGGCGTCTCTGCTCAGGGTGACCACCCCCATGCCCAGTGGCACCCCCAGGTGGATGAGCCCAGCTCCGCAGCCTGGCGGTCACTCCTGCGGAACGAAGACGGCCCTGTTGCTGCTTCCCACACCTGCAGCCCGCAGGCGTCTGGCCAGGCTGGCCCCGGGTGGCCACACAGAGCCCAGTGTGGCTGCAGGGGGCAGAGCGCCCACGGGTCAGCTGACCCTGCAGCCATGGGCATGCACGCGGCCGGCCAGGCCCTCCTGGAGCCCCAAGCGCTGAGGCTGATAGCTGCCTCTCCTGTGGCCGGAGGGTGGGCAGCAGCCGGGGCCCCCCTCGCCTGTGGCCACCGAGTGAGCAGGGAGGCTGTCCACTCACCGGGAGGACTCCCTCAGAGGAGCCAGGCTCCCAGGCTGCCCTGTGGTGTCTGCAGGGCGCCTGTCACCTGCGGCCCCCCCACTGGGCTCCGCCTCCCAGCCCCCTCCCCGCCGGGTCTCCAGGGCTGCCCGGGCGCTGGACGCCTGCAGCCTGTGGGCCTCAGCGGCTGACCCCCTCCCACTCACCGTTTGTGCCTGTTGGCGGTTTGCTCAGCTTCCAGCCAGGGCCTGTCCAGCCCCGGTCCCCGGTCCCCGGCTGCCTTGGCCTGGAGGGACAGCCCTGGGGTGGGCGCCATGAGCCTGTCCAGCCCTCCGGGGACCTGGCTGCTCCCACCCACGGTGCTCAAGGGGGCGTGGCTCCAAGCCTCTGAGTGGCTGCCGACTCCCTGGAGCTTCAAGGCTGAGGTGAGGTTGGCGCTGGGAGCCAGGGGCCCCATCACAGACGCCCGAGCCCGGGGCTGAAGACCCTTGGTCCCCACTGCGGTGACATCCACGTGCCCTCGTCCGAACCTGGGCTGAGGACCCAAGGCCCCAGGACA